AGCCCATGTGTTAAGAAAATATTTAGATATGATCCAGGAACATGACATCTTTCTCTATGCAAACTTTTGGCCATTATATTCATTTTTTAGGGCTGCCATAACAAAGTACCACAGACTGGGAGTTGGGTGGGATCAAACAACAGAAATTTATTTGTTCATATTTAGGAAGGCAAGAACTCCAGGATCGAGGTATTGGTGGGGTTGCTTTACTTTGAGACCTCTCTCCTCAGCTTGTAGACGGCCATCTTCTTCCTGTTTCTTCACATGGTCTTCCCTCAGTACGTGTCTGTGTCCTAATCTTCTCTTTGGACAAGGATTAAGGTGCACCCAATATGACCTCATTTTACCTTAATTACCTCTTTAAAGGTCCCATCTCCAAATACATCACATGCTAAGGTATTGGGGGTTAGGACTTCAATGTATGAATTGAGGGGGACACAATTCAGCCCATAACAGACACACTGCACATTTTTGGGGGTGATATGTTTATTCTTGGAGTTTGTTCTTGCTTGTCTGCAAGGATCAATAGGGTCTTATTCTAGGGAACAGACATAAGATGTAAAATGTCTAGAACTTAGTCTATATTCACTTGAATAGTATTTCTGAGCACCTGGTGAAACCCTCTCCTTTGAGGAATATAAAACAGCTTCAATAGTTGTGGCTTTGAAAGCACACAATACAGCCCCAGTATGTAGTCTCTATTCCATCTATGTTTATTTAATACAAATCAACTGAACTAACAAATTAACTGGCCATTTGGTCAATTTCCCTAAAATAACATCCTCACTGAAGTCTCATGTTAGTCCCAAGATGCTGTAGGAAGGGACTGGACTGAGTGCAGCATGGAAGAATGCTACTTCTGACACAGGGTTTACATCACTGGGGGGTTTGAGAATTTGGAAGCTGTCTAATCTACTGGAAATCACACTGAACTGTCACTTTAAGGGGCCAACACAACAGGAAAGGTTGAGCTAGTCAAATGATTCAACCAACTTCCTTTTGATCCACTCCTTTAAGTGCTAAAATCAGCTATGTCCTTATAGATAAACAGTGTGTCTTACCCACTTTAATAACTAATCTTCCAGTTTGATTTGATGGCCAAACATATTATTATTTTTCAGATCGGTAGTCCCTCTGTCATCTCTTTCATTTGGGCCTTTCAGATAAGGTTTCCAAATGGTCATCTGCCCTGGAAGCAGATACCACATCCTTTATGAGAGTTTTACAATGTAATAGGTTCTTGTCACTATATTAATAAAATCAGAGCTCTTCTCCCCACATCCTGGGGAAAGTTGGGGTGTCTTTTCCTCTTTTTTATTACAACAGTAAAAGAAAGTTGGAAAGAAGCTTTAAAAGTGCCTAGAAAAAACTACAAGGTAAACACGCACTTGCTCTTCAATACACAAAGAAGTACCTCTCTACTCTTATGTCACTACTCGCTTCTGGATAGTTCAAGTTATCTGCAGTCACATTTCAATCAGCACAGTGAGTTTCGTTAAAATCAGAGCAGATATTGCAACTTCTGGTTATACCAATCTGTAGGGCAATATTTGAGGAAAGTGGCCATTGAACTAATAAACATACCTTTTTCCCGAGGAAATTACCAGGACCTGCTGTCACTATCAAAGGTGCATCTTTTAATTCTCCATTTTATTTGGAGATAAAATAAAGAGAGAGAGAGTGTCCCTAATAGTAATTATCTAATTTTTTTCTTTCAAATATTAAGCAGCTTGATATAGATGTTTTTACTCAAAATAAATAAAATACACAAAAGACCCTGCAAGAAAGGGCATTTCAAGATGGCCTTATTGCAACATGTAGATAAATGTCTTGGTGATCTCATAAAAGTCACATAGTGTTTGGATTCTAGAGCTTGACCCGTCTTCAATTCTGTTTACATGCTTTGAGACAAAAGCCATGACCAAAATGAATTTAAGAAAACCTAATTAGAAGGCCAGGAGAAATCAGCACGGTTATCAGAGTAAGGATTACGAGATGTCATGATTCAGCCAGTCTTCTTCCCAGTCCTGGACTCCAGCATGTCAAGTTTCTACTGATGCTCCCACACATCCTAGTATGCCCAGCACAGCCCCCACAACAAAGAATTATCTAGTGCCAAGTGTTAATAGTGCTTTGCTGTGGAGAAACCCTGCTCTATTGAAAAAAAGGGAGAAGCGTAAGACGTCACCACTGCTAACAGTTTATTTATAAAATGTCTATCAAATAATACAAATGTGTTTATAATGATACCTGTTACAACCAAGATACAATTATGGTCAGTTCATTTTGTATGTGGACATAACTGCATGTTTAGATAAATCACAATGGCCTTCGAAAATATGCCTTAAAGCCCTCCGGTTTACAAGTAATCTTAAACTTGGTTGGTTATGAAAAAATTTAATATAAAAGTTAGATTTTATATTTCAAAAGATTCTTTCCAACTGCTTGCCATACTATTTATTTAAGCTACGTGTAGAGGGCTACACATTGTTTTGCTTTCTTTTTTTAAAGGAAGACTACATAGTAGGAATGTTGGTTTAAGTAACACAAGTCAATATTGATATTATATGTCATTTCAAGTGCATATCACCAAATGGTATTTATTGATATTTTCTTTTTTATGTATATTGAGATATCCTATTTTCACAATCACTTGAATTAACTGATGTTTATTTGGAGGGGACAAATATCAGTGGTCAAGCAATTGTTTGTTTTTACTGTTTTCTTGCTCCAGATAAAACCATTCTCTTTTTTTACCTACTGAACACTTTCCTTTGGCAATCTTGAACCTGTGCACCAGAATGGCATTTTGTCTTGGACTTTTCTGATAAATATTTGGTAAAGATAGTTGTGTGTGTGAGAACACATGTGTGTGTGTGTGTGTGTGTGTGTGTGTTTAGGTTTCCACTTAAAGTTCAGTGCCAAAGCTACAGTACTTATACATTTTCTAAATGTGTTTTAAGCAATAAGTTGTACAACATTTTTAGAACATGTGTTAAGCTATTTCTCTAAGAATGAAGCTCTTAACAAAACATAAGCACTCTGCATGAGATCTTAGCAGCAAAGTGCTTAAAAGATAAAGTAAGAATTGGTACCATGGGAAGAACACCAGCTGTAAAGCGCACAGGTCCATTATGAGAAGTATGGTAGTGGGTAGGGAGAAAATGATTTAATCAGGAGTAAAACCAATTTTATTATAAGGGCACGCAGGGGGTGTGGCACCATAGTGAGAGGGACATTTCAAAATATCTGACAGATTTCAACAATGTGAAAACCCCGTTCTTTAAAGTGACAGTAAACCCCGTCAGGTCTCCCTTTTTGATGCTATTGTTAACAGTTGACTGTTTAAAGCTGGCCTGCTAAGATGCTGTCGGCCTATTTCAATAGTATGTAGCCAAATAAAAGACTAATTGTTGAAATACAATCAATCAAAAATGATTGCAGGGCAGAAAGAAGGTCTCCTCCACTGATTTTGTTGTGGATCATATTATTGTGTTATGACTGAGGTAAGAATGAAGACTGAAAGGGAAGAAAAAATTGGCCATCTGAAATAAACAGATGCACCTTCTTTCCTTCTCTTTGCAAATGTCCTATTGAACAGGAACGTCACTTACCAGCCCTGGAGGTAGTAGTCCATTTAGAAAAAGAGAGCTGATAAAGATTTTGGCTAAGATTTTAAAAGGACACGAACACTATTAACAAAGCAGCCCGTGCAGAGATTCCCCACAGTGACAATTCTCAGTTTTTCTCACATTTTTGGTGCAGATTCTCCTCTGCCTCATAAAACTGACACCAAGGGGGCATGTGAATGCGAACCCAAGACATCGGGAAAGAAACAAAATTCCAGTGGACCAGATACCTGTGAAGTTCTGGCCAGGATACCAGGCTTTTCAGTTAACCGCCCCTTCCCAGGTTGTTTAAAACGATTAGCTTTAGTTTTTATTCAGCCCAGAATTCAAAATCTTTTTCATGTTGCATGCTTACAAAGACAAATACAACAGCAATGCTTTTCTGCCTTGCTTCCTTTCAGTGGTGTGTAAAGATGTCCCTTTCAGACCCTGCCACATCCACTTCTTGGGGGAGAATGATTCCAGACTTTCTTTTTGAGAGTGAACAAGAAGAAAATAATTGTCCAGAGTCTCCTTATTTCTTCTAAAAACTTCATTTTGGCATTTATGTTCTTTAATATTTAAATGTCTCAACTCACTCAAGCTTCCCAAGCAAATATGTCTGTTGTTTCTAGGCGGAGTTGGTAAGCACTTGTGGTTTGTCTTTAGTGTGTTATCATTTTTGACAGCTTTGCATAGCCTCCATAGGCCAACAGGGGTCTGTCTAATATTGTTGCTGGGCACATTTTCCTCGCTGAGATGAAAACTAAAAAAAAAAAAAAAAAAAGGAAAAAAGGTATTTTTGAAGCAGTAAGAAGGAATTAATATCCTTTCTCACTCAGTAGTCTATTCCTTGCTGAATTTATATTCAGCAAAAAAAAAGCAAAAAATTGTTACCCATTATTCCCTTGTACATAGCAAGGCTAACACATGTAAAGCAATAACTCATTTTCTATTGCCATGTTTAGCATATGTCTCCTGTTGGCTCAGCAAGGCCTTTAGGCCGGTCCCTTGAGCCGGCCATCATTGGCAACTCTTAGCCCCTCGGCCTCAAAACCAAATAGCTTTGAATCATGTTGAGCTGTGATGCTAATTTTCATACTGATGCATTATGGGAATAAATGTATCTGACATACTGTGTCAATGGCACTGTCTCTTTGTGTCTCTTGTTTTTTTGTTAGCTGCATTCCTACAGATGGTATTCCATTGAAAATGTTCCCTTCCTACAGAAAAAGGGGGGAAAAAAAAAAAAACATGCACAGCACCAAACCTCTAGGTGCAGAAGGCTGTTAACGGTTGCTGATGATAGTAGGCAAACATTAACATAATAATTAGTGTCTTGTAATTGTTTCATTAAAACCAGTTGTTCCATTTCTCCTCGTGTTTTCCCAGAAGAGAAGCTGAATTTGGACGACAGCCAGTGGGAGGACATCCACGTTGTCACCGGAGCACTGAAGATGTTTTTCCGGGAGCTGCCTGAGCCGCTCTTCCCTTACAGCTTCTTTGAGCGGTTTGTGGAAGCGATCAGTAAGTAACCTCACAGACTGGAGTGCTTGGTGGAGAAACCTGGCAGCGTGGAGTTATTAAGTAAACAATAAGAAGGACAAGAATAGTGATCGTGGAGATGCTAAGACCCCCAACGCTCCACATGTTTCATTTACTGTGTTGTGTTTTTGATGGCTTATTTTTATTTCTGGCCGTGCAATATTATCTGAGTTTTGTTTTGGATTTTGGTTTTTGGTTTAAAAAAAAAAATAGGGTAACCTATTTAGAGTGGTTGCTTTTCAACTAAAACCTCCTCAAATGAAAATAGCTTCTCATGGAATCGGTTTTGAAGGGATCACCTTTGGCATTCTCAGCACCTGCCTTTCAGAGTTTTGGGATTGGCAAGGAGTTTGGGTACAAAAGGGTCTTGAAAAAGAACTTAAGTGACTTTCATTTTGTTTCATTAGAGAGGTGTTAAATCATCAACTCAGGCATCGCCTTCTTGAGGCTCCCTCACCCTCCACCCACCAATACTAGTAAATAGCTACAGTTTTCTTATAAACAGTGTGATATTAAATTAAGTACTGGCAGGTTTCTTTGGTTAAGCTGTTGACTTTGTAGGGGGTTGAATTATATCACATACCAACCAGTAGTCATTGTACACTCACTCCAGGAAGCTTCCTTTTCTATTGTTTTTGCATTCAGAACACACACACTTAAGTCAAAATGAGTAAATGAATGAGTGAATGAATAAAAATCTTTCCAAATGCAAGGAAACTTTTGCTATTGATGCTTCGAGAAGCAACTACTAGTACATCTAAATTTAGTATCTTAGGGTACACTTACTATAACTGTGACAGCTTAAAAAAAGTTTCCCGGCAAGAAAGCTGATTTGAGGAGGAAAAAGAAAGAAGAAAGAAAGGTAAAATTAAAAAGCTTGCAAGCCTGGCAGGAGCTTAATTAAATTCCAAACGAGAAAAATCTCCAAGAAAAAAAAAAATTGCTCTGCTTAGGAGGTCTGATAGAGGATGGCTGTGTGTGCAGTGTTCCCATTAGTGGGCGTGGGGGTTTGGGGGGCCCATGTTGGAGAACAGCCCCTCAGTATGCCCTTTATTCTGTTTCCCATTTCACAAGTCTCCATACTTGTTTAAAGTTCTGGTCACCAAATGATATCAAGAGGAATATAGCAAAATTATTTCCCCAAGGTCTTTCTCTTGTCTGCTCACAATGTCAGATTTTGTTGTTGTCATTGCTGCTCTTGTTGAATATAGCAGCAGGTGCTCTAACGATGGGTTTTGAGGTAAGGCTGGGCCTCTTAACCCCTGTCTTTTTATTTCATGAGCTTTCTGCTTCTCAAGGAGAACAGTATTTTATGGTTCCCAGGCTCAACTTTTTAAAAGGACGAATAAAGAAAATAATAAATAAGCATACATTTCCATAACAATTTATTCCGAAGTTCTGTCTTGGAACGTGGCTGGCGAACATGAAAGATTACTGGCAATGTTAGCACAGTGTTCTGGTAGGAAGTCAGGAGACTTGCATTTTGGTACCTATTTCTGATTATGTATATTTAAAGAAGTCATACAAATTTCACATCATGGCCTCCGGACTTTTAGGTGAGGAATATGTTATTTGTGAACATACCTGTACATGTGCTGATTTGAGGGCTGTGATATAGAAACCCATCATTTAAGCTTCCTTTAGGTCACCTGATTCTAAAGATACAAAGCAAGCCGTTCCCTTAGCTTGAGAGATAGGGGAAGCAGGCCCTCAGAGGGCATGTGAGGGCATGTCCTTTGAATTTCTATGAAGAGTAGGACCATATCTGCACTATCATAGACTCAACCCTCACTGAACAGAATTTCAGAAACACTGGCATAGTCAGAATGGAACAAGGCAGAGTTGAAGTGGCAGCATGCTATTGTGACGAATGGCTATTGCAAGAGTTTTCGGCAACATGTATAAAATGGGTTATGGCAAACACGAAAGAGATAGTGCTGAAGAAAATCCTTTAAAACTGTAGGATACTGTACAGATGCTAACAGTGTTTCTTCAGTTGAGCTTTGTCTGAGAATGTAATATAGAAACAGGGAGGTAGTTTTTCCTTCATTGTTTAAGGCAAGGAGAATCCACCTAATGACCTTGCTTTACCTAACTCAAAACAGTACCTATTATTTCTTGCTATGGAAAATGGAAGGACTAACCAACAGGATTGTATGGTGGAGAACTAGGTCAAGATGTTGGACAGAGGCATATGTTTACTAACCCATGTGTTTTGGGCAGAATCTTGAAGTCAGTTCTGGTGTTCTAAACTCAACTAAACTCAGCTCTAGGTTGTAGTTCATATTTAAATATCCTTAAGCAATGAGAGAATGGCCACCTCCCCTTTGGCAATGGTAAAACTACACCAGAGTAGGCATTTTTACCAATCTAGTAAAAAATCTTTCAAAACTATAAAGACATTTATATCCAGCCCCAAAGGGGTGATGGGTTTTATCATACCTCTCCCTGCCTCCTCTAAAATCTACACAGTGAGAAGTTCAATAGACCTGCCCGTGAGTTCTTGGCCTTCTTTTGAAAAGGAAGCAACCAGGTAAAGGAAATTCATGGGGAAGATGTCCATCCATGCTGGCTCTGGGCCTCTCGGCCATCCGATCTCTGCAGCTCACGCTGTGCTCTGTAACCTAGGAGGGTTGACCCCAGCGAGCTACATTTCACAGGTGCTTTTGAGGGCTGGCTTCCTGCTGCCGAAGCCAGTGGAGACCCTGGAAGTACAGAGCAGAGGGAGAGGGAGGGAAAAGACCAGCTAGTTTGTTAGTTGATCCTCTACCCCCTCTCCCTTGTCCACCCACCTGCCTCAAGTAGTTTCTCTACCTGAGGGTCCATCTTGTCCACGGTTTCAGCTTTGACTGGAGAGGCCTGCTCTGGTTCCAGCTGCCATCTAGTGATGCGGACCCTCCTCTCTTTGCCCGTCCAGCCTGGTAGTAGCTTCCTGCAGGGGCTGGTTTCTTCGTTACTTCACTCTTCCTTCCTGGGCTCTCAGCTTCTTCATCACATGGGTAACCAGTTCCCTGCATCAAATTAATTCCCTCTGTTTGTGTAAATACTTGAAGTGGTTTCTGCTCTTTGGTCAAACACTAGCACACCACCATGTCAGTCAGTGTTACGGTTCATGTCGCTATAACATTATTTCCCTTTTCTCTTTCATTACCCTCAATCCTAGGCTTAACATTTTTATTTAGGAGAGGTTGAGAGATCTGTTATCCTTTCATGACAGAGTTTAAAAGTGAATAGACCAAAAGGAATTTTACTTCCAACTGGAATGCTTTGCCCTCTGAGGAGGAAATGTTATTTCATGTACAAGCAGTTAATGACCACTTGTGCCATTGGAATTACTGTTAATTCTCGTTATATGTTTGAAAGTCATCATTACATATTCCGAGAAAAAAGAACAGAAGGCATTTACTTTTTTAAATAGTTTCTTTTTGGACCAAACACAAACATTAATATGATAAGAACCTGTAATTGCCATAGCGATCCCCTGTCTGATAACACTCATTGGGGTAACAAAAACACCAGAGATTGTTTTATATTTCAGAATCCAAGTAGTGCAGCTATTGATCTGAAATTCTATATTTGAGGTCAATGCAACTGGGTCACTGCAGGTTATTTCGTGGGGATTTAACCCACTGACTGCAAGGACTTAATTCCCTGGAAATGACTTCTGCTGAAAGCAGTATTAGTACTGTAAATGTGAACTCAGGACAAAAACACAGCTATAGAGTTTTATGATCTGTGATGCAATCTTGGGGCTAAAGTCCTGCAGGGACATTTCCAGTATATCTAAATCCTAGGAAACGTACTAAGCTTACCTCTTTTCCTATTTTATTCATTCTGGTAGCTCTACATATCCAAAGAATGGAGACAAGTACTGTCTTTTCTGATTTAACATCTGCATTTTCCCCAAGTCCCTGGGATAGGGAAAGAGAGGAGAAAAACTTGTTGTCATTTTTCACAATTATCTCACTTAACCCTCAAAATAACAAAGCAGGAGATATTAGACAAGTAGAAAGATCCTGTGGAAAAGAATTTCTAGTTCATAATGTTACTGCGAGAATTAACTAGGATAACATTTTCCTTACTCTATATTAGGTACTCAATCAATAACTTGAAAGAAATAAATTCTTCAGAGGAGTAAAGCGAGTCATAAAATATTTCCCAAGTTCACATGGCTCAAAAGATTAGATTTAGCATTCAATTCCAGACTCTAAAACATAAATACTTTCCATCATCATACATTGCCTTTGGGGGACTATTTAGAAGAAATCTTGCTCAAAGGATAACTAACTAGCTGTTGACAAATATCTGTCTGTTATGTCTTCCTATGTAAGACCTATATGTCCTATATAAGTCCACAACAATTTTTTCTTTCTTTTTTTTTTTAACCAAGGTTAGGATTAAATTTAATGATCAGAAGTTTTGATAATGGAGTTTCAAGTTAGAAATAAGCTAGAACTTTCCAAGGATGGGCAGTGTTGACAATATTTAGTACTCAACATTAAAAGCATCTGTGCTTTAATGTTATACTCTCTGAATATATTTTTAACCCTTTACTCTATTATTTTTTATAACCAATTGCTCCCCCATCCTCTTTTGATATGTACTTAGCTATACACTATGTTATTTTACTCTTTCATATGAGTAACTATTTCAAGCTTACGTTTTATTAGTATTCTTTTCTGCAGTTTTTCACTTGTATTGAATTACAACATGCAACAAGCCAAGACTGATTCAGGGTGCTCAGCTAGGGGTTTCTTTCTGCTTTCTGAGTCAGCACTACTGTTTTCCAGAAGACATGTGTATGAGTTTTCTATCGCTACCGTAACATATTATCTCAAACTCGGTGGCCTAAAAATACCAGTAATTTCTTATCTGATAGTTCTGTAGGACAGAAGGCTGACACTGGCCTCACTGGGCTAAAAGCACAGCGTCTGCAGGTCTGCGTTCCTTTCTGGAGGCTCTAGGGGAGAATCCATTTCCTTGCCTCTTC